TTGGGCCGTATTCTGCGCCCGAAGAAGGGAATGATGGCCGACGAGTACAACGCCTTCTTCTATTCGCTGGTATCGCAGGACACGCTTGAGATGCAGTACTCGCGCAAACGGCAGCGCTTTCTCGTCAATCAGGGCTACAGTTATAAAGTGATCACCACTTTGAAGGGTATGGATGAGGAGGAGCTGTTCTACAAGTCCAAAGAGGAACAGCAATCGCTGCTCCAACAGGTCCTTCAGGCCAACGATGCCGACGCCGAAGAGGAGAGGGTCCCCGGCGTCGACTCGGGCTTCAAAGGCGCCGCCGGTTTTGTACGCAAAGCCGGTAATATGAGCTCTATTTCTGGGGCCGACGATAATGTCTATATGGAGTATAAGAAGAAAGCGGGTCCGAAGGGTGATCACAAACATCCCCTGTTTAAGCGTTTCAGGCAATGATTGCAAATGCATTTCTATCACAATTATTATGATTAAGCATTAAATTCTATGTAAATATTAATGTTGTATTCAATCTCTATAATAAATATATGATTTATTTATTTAACAAATTGTGTAAATCATGATTATTTATTTAAACTGGATCAAATTAACGTAATTACCACATAATGGCAACCAATTGAACGTAATGTCTGTGAGGCCCACAATAAAGCGTGGGTGGAGTCAAAGCGACCGTTTATTTTGTGGCAATTTTTAAATCACAGATAGTTTTAAATAAACACTAAATTTATAATGAATTTTATACACAATTTAATGAATTTAATTAATTAAACGTTTAGTTTATTTATTGCTAATAATGATTGCATTACTAAGAGTTGATTTTATGGCATAATAAACGTGATGTGAATATGAGGTAAAACAAGTGTTTGGTTTTATTTAGTTTTGACGCAATATTTTGTGCCGAAAATACCCTAAAAATGATGCCTTTTTGTAATGCATTGCTTTGAGTGAGTGGTCAATGTTTTTGGGGATTTTAGTGTATGTTTTGTGCCGTTTTTCACTATATTTTGACCGTTTTTCTGGGGTTTTTTCGGTGGGTTTGGGATTTTGTCCGCTTATATGTAAACACTGTGTTTGACGTCTAGTTTTTTAATCTCAAATTACATAACAGTTGTAAACACTGTTTAACACTAATTGCAATGCATTTAAAACAATGGATTAGTTTTAATACAACTCGTGATTGAGATATGCATTGAAAGCATACTTTAAAATGCATTCAAAAACTGTTTTTGATTGAAGTTTTAATTGATGTTTACTTTTGTTTTTAGATTTTTTACGTGTTTTTTAATGTGATTTTAAAACTGGTGTTTGAATTGAATGATAATCTTAATGGACAGACACACCGCCGGAACCGCTAATAATGTCTTCGCTAATAACAAGAGTAATAACAAGAAACACATGTATAAGAAACGATCGGTACGACAGCCGGGGCTCGTCCGGAGTCGGGGCCGCCATCGGGTGCCCAACGCTCTCAAGTCTGACCAGAAGTATACCATTAACTACTCGTTTGACGACAACAGCAGCCACTCATCGGTTAGCAATATTAGCGCCAATTTTGACCGCAATTTGCTGTCCAACTGGAGTTTCCCGCAACGGATCCATCAGTTTTACGCGACCAAAGGGATCACCAAATTGTTTGATTGGCAGGTATTGTGTATTGGCTTTATGTGACTCGTGTCACACTTGTTGTGGTTTATAATTAACCATTTTATTAATCAATGGACGTATAGGTGGAGTGTCTTAACATGGATGGTGTGCTGGAGGGCCGGAATCTGGTCTATTCGGCGCCGACGAGTGCCGGCAAAACAATGGTCTCCGATATACTGATGTACAAGAAGTTGTTGGAACACAAGAAGAAGGCGATCGTTATATTGCCCTTTGTTTCGGTCACTCAGGAGAAGGTGTTTACGTTGAAGCGTGTGCTGCGGGCGGTGGGCGTCAATGTGGACGCCTTCGCGGGTGGTGTCAATCCGCGCGGAGGTCTGGCCCGAGTCGATGTGGCCGTCTGTACCATCGAAAAGGCCAATAATATGATTAACAAGTAATGCATTGATTGATTGATTTGGTTTTAAGTGTTTTTGTGTTTCCGAAATGAGTCCTATATTTAGTGTATTTTTGTTTTGCTTACAAAAGACTCATTGAAGACAATAAACTGAGTGAAATCGGTTTAATAGTGGTCGACGAACTGCATATGATTGGGAACAACAGTCGAGGCTTTCTTCTGGAACTACTGCTGACGAAAGTGTTGTATTTGAAGAGCAAAATGGGACACGAGATACAGATCGTGGGTATGTCGGCAACGATACCCAATCTGGACGCCATCGCCAAGTGGCTGAACGCCGCTCTCTATGTGACTGACTTCCGTCCGGTGCCGCTGTACGAGAGGGTCAACATCGGGGACGTTGTATATGACGCTAAAACGATGACAGAATACCGACGGCTCGACATCAAAGACTACGATATCAAGAAGAGCGACGGCTCTGACGACTCGAATCTCTTGTTTCTGGCCATCGAAACACTGGTCAGTGGTTTGGGTTCAGTGGTGTTCTGCGCGACGAAAGCCCAGTGCGAGAAACTGTGCCGAACTCTGGCCTCAAACATCTGGGAGTTGGGCTCCGGGAAGAAAGTGGCCAACAAATCGACTCAAGACTTCAGAAACAAACTCAAAACTGCCATTGATTTCAATAAAATTGAACAATTGTTACAACAGTTGCAGAAATGTCCGGCCGGTGCCGACCCGGGCGTTGTGGCCAACCTTCGGTTCGGTGTGGCCTACCATCACGCGGGACTATCCATTGACGAGCGCTGTATCATTGAACAGGCCTTTCGCGACGGAGTGATTAAGATATTGTGCGCCACTTCCACGCTGTCGGCCGGTGTCAACCTTCCAGCGCGACTCGTTATCATCAGATCGCCGCTCGATTTCAAGAACTCTATGATGGATGTGATGTCTTACAGACAAATGATCGGTAGGGCTGGCCGTCAAGGGGTCGACACAATGGGTGAGAGTATACTCATGTGTTCGGAAAGTAATCGCGCGAAAGGCGAAGAACTACTCAAATCAAGTCTGAGCCCAATCTCTAGCTGTTTAATGGGTATTAATCCCATCGACGGTTCGCCCATATCTGACCAGTCGTTCGGCGGCATTAAAAGAGCTATTTTGGAGATAATCGCCAACGGAATGGCCAACAATTATGAAGACGTCTCGCAGTACATCCAGAAGTCATTCTTGGCGTCCATATCGTCGAACGCCGTGACGGAGACCATCATAACAGACATCATCGCCTATTTGGTGGACGAGAAGCTGATCCACAGTATGACCGACACCGACAGTCAGGACCGGAAGATAACGCCCACTCAGTTTGGAAAAGCGGTTCTCGCGTCGGGTGTATCGCCAAAAGACGGCGCTTTCATTCTCAACGAACTAAACAAAGCCAAAGTATCGCTGTGTCTGTCCACTGATCTGCACCTCCTCTACGAAGTGACACCCATTACAGTGAGCGGCCAATTGGAGTCCATTGATTGGCAACACTTTCTCAAACTGTGGGACAAACTCGACGACGACATGCGACGGGTGGGCAAACTGGTGGGCGTTTCCGAAAACACACTCTTCTCGTTCATACGCAAGAGCGGGCTCTCCAACGAAGACCAGCTTCTAATCCATAAGCGCTTCTACGCGGCGCTCGCCCTCCACGACCTCTGCCACGAAGTGCCGCTCCGAGAGGTGGCCGCGAAGTACAAGTGCACTAAAGGTATGCTCCAATCGCTGCAACAGAACGCCAGCTCATACGCCGGAATGTTGACCACGTTTTGCAATCGTCTCGGTTGGCACAGTCTAGAGGTGCTCATCGAGCAGTTCCAGAGTCGGCTGTTCTTCGGCGTCCAACGGGAACTCATAGATCTGATGCGTATCACGAGTCTGAACGCGTGTGTGGCCCGAGTCCTCTATAATAACAAATACGATACAGTGGTCGCCGTCGCCAACGTTGACAACTACTCCGACATAGAGCTGGCGCTCATGAATAGCGGTCCGTTTGATAAGAGCAAAGCGGCCGACGCGTCGGTCGTGTGGTTACCGGCGCTCAACAAAGCCATGAATGTGCGCGAAATGGCCAAAGCCATGGTCTTTGAGGCCCGCGAACTCATCAACAAAGATCTCGGTATTAAAGTGTATGATTTGAGTCAAATATCGAGCGACGGCAGCGCCAGTACAGGCGTCGGCGACCGCTGTCTCGAGGACTTTACCGACGAGTCAAACGACGCGCCGAACAATAGGTTTACGAAACTCGTGTCACCAGTGAAACAGACTTTGAGTGATACTAAAGAGAACGTGGATTGTGTTGAACGCGAAGAGAGTGTTGAGGACATGTCTTTTGTCGAGGAATCGGCGCCATCGGTGGCCACTAATTGTGATAATAATAATAGCTGTGATGTCAGCCGATCTCATCCGCATATTTCTGAACCGTTGCAGTCAATGATTGTGTCGCCGATGGATAACATTAACACTTCTAGAATTGACCGTAAATCTCATATTTGTCGCTATTATTAACTCATTTAACATTTTTAGCTCAAATTCTTTCGCTTAAGTTATTTAACTAATTTTAATAATGTTTTATAAATGTCTTTTTGTGTCACTCTTTGTAATATGTTTTTTTGTCTAATTATAATTTTCTAAATGTATTATATTTTATAGATTTATTTAATATAAAATAGTATCAATATTTATATAATTAAAAATTAATTATTTAACAGTAAATACTTATTATTTGCTTTAATTATTCCATAAATTAAGCGAAAGGCAAAGTTAACGCTAGATTTCTAATGCCTGTATTGACTGAATATGTATTGAAATATGAAATAATTTGTGTCTTCTCTTCGATTAGAGGAAGAATTGGACGCCAATAAGCCGTCGACTTCGAAGAATGTCATGTCTTCGACACCAATAGCTGCACACCATAGCAGTCGGTCTTCGAGACTCAGGACAGTGTCTGAGAAACAGTCGGAAAACTCATTTTTAGCCGATTGTGATAAACCAAAAGTTAACGAGGAATCCAGTTTTGATTTGGGCGACAGTTTAGACAACATTTCTTGGGATCGACTTAACTGTGATCTCAACAAAATCAATGAAAGTCATAACGAATGCGAAATGAATAGCATTCATGATATCTCGATGAAGAACTTGTCCACTATTAGTACCGATCTGTTGACCAAACGATGTCAGAGTCCGGACACTTCGGGCGATACGCTGAACAGTCGACAGTCAGATCACTCGTCCAAACGATCGTCGAGTCCGAGTCCTTCGGGCAAAATGATGGCCGAAAGACTGAACAAACGATCGCATTCTTCAGCGTCCGATATCTCTAATGTTCTATCGGACGACAGTTTTCCGCCATTTTCTGACGACTCGTTGGACAACAAATCGGATGTTTCGACCAACAGTTCCGTTGTCACCAAAACTGTGTTCAATGAATTGAAAATTGGCCACAAATTCACTGTTTCCGCACTCGACTCCACAAACATGTCGTCAATCGATGCCTTATTAAACAAATTGGTTGACAACAAGACGTTTTGTCTGCATTTTAAGACTCAACCGAAGGCCACAGAAACGGTTCGATTAATCGGCTCTAAGATTAAAGCGCTTAAGAAGAATAACGCACCCGTTGTTAACGGACTTGATATGCGCTATAATAACACTGTTATCACTGCTATAATGATTGCCTTTGAGAGTGAATCCAGTGTTTATTATGTGTCCACTGATAAAGCGCTCAACAAAATTAGAGATCACTTCAGAACTAAACTCGGAAGCGATTCAAAAGTGGTTACATTTGATGTCTGTTTGTGTTATAAAGTGTTGAAACATTGCTTCGGATGTGATCTTCAACTATTGGATTCAATTGATTGGTTTGACGTAAGGATTGGTCACTGGATTTTAGACCCGGAATCCAAACGACCCGACAGTATACAGGAGTTGGTGAAGATATACTGCGAAAACTATAGCCTTTTATTTGTTAAATCAAAGAGCAATTTGGAAACCGATTGCATATCTACTGGTCTTATGTTTCCATTGGTTAACGCATTGATGAATGAGTTGGAGGCGAAGAAGCAATTGAAGGCATTCAAGAGGACAGAGATTCCGTCCCGTTTGGTGATAGCGGACATGGAGTTGAATGGTATGATTGTGGACAAGGATTACATGACCAAACAGTTGGATCTGTTGCGCGAAACGAAGCGACAATTGGAGGCCAAAGCGTACGAGATATCAAACATTAGATTCAAACTCTCGAGTCCCACAGAAATCGCCAAAGTTTTATACGAAGACATGAATCTGTTGTCCAATTACTACGGCGTCGTCAAGAAGAATGTGACGGCAAAGGGCGGTGCGAACGCCCGGAGCGGCTCAAAAGTGGTTACATTTGATGTCTGTTTGTGTTATAAAGTGTTGAAACATTGCTTCGGATGTGATCTTCAACTATTGGATTCAATTGATTGGTTTGACGTAAGGATTGGTCACTGGATTTTAGACCCCGAATCCAAACGGCCCGACAGTATACAGGAGTTGGTGAAGATATACTGCGAAAACTATAGCCTTTTATTTGTTAAATCAAAGAGCAATTTGGAAACTGATTGCATATCTACTGGTCTTATGTTTCCATTGGTTAACGCATTGATGAATGAGTTGGAGTCGAAGAAGCAATTGAAGGCATTCAAGAGGACAGAGATTCCGTCCCGTTTGGTGATAGCAGACATGGAGTTGAATGGTATGATTGTGGACAAGGATTACATGACCAAACAGTTGGATCTGTTGCGCGAAACGAAGCGGCAATTGGAGGCCAAAGCGTACGAAATATCAAACATTAAATTCAAACTCTCGAGTCCCACAGAAATCGCCAAAGTTTTATACGAAGACATGAATCTGTTGTCCAATTACTACGGCGTCGTCAAGAAGAATGTGACGGCAAAGGGCGGTGCGAACGCCCGGAGCGGCCGAAAATTGCCCAAACATTTGAGTACATCGAAAGTGGCGCTCAAGAAGTTAATGTCTTTGACGACGAATCCGTTGCCGCGAGTGATACTCGACTGGCGACGAGTGGAATACGCCATCAAGACATCCATCAAACCGGTTATGGATTACGTTAGACTCGACAACGATTTACAGTTGCATATAATCAACGGTTTGTGCGACGATTGGTCATCGACTGGTAGAATCTCAATGCATGAGCCGAACCTAATCGGCATTAATAAAGATTTCTCCGTCGACGACATCGATGTCGAAGACAACGGTTTCCATCAAAGAGTCGACTTTAGTCTGCGAAAGTGTTTTATCGCCCGAAACGGTTGGCAATTGGTTTCGGCCGACTATTCGCAGTTAGAGCTCAGAATTCTGGCCCATCTCTCCAAAGATCGGCGACTGACACAAGTGCTCAACAGCGGCGGCGATGTCTTCAAGAATATCGCTTCGGTTTGGAAGTCGAAATCAGTGGACGACATCACCGCCGATGAGAGACAACAATCGAAACAAGTATACAATTAGTTATCTGTTGAAGCGATTGGCGTTTGTTTATAACATTTATTGTCTTGTTTTGTAGATCTGTTACGGAATGATATACGGAAAGGGAGAGAAGTCATTGGCCGAAGACCTGGAAGTGACCGAAGAGGAAGCGAAAGAGTTTATGGAGACTTTTATTAACCGCTACGATGGCGTCAAGCGATTTATCTCTGAAACTATCGACAACTGCCGCGAATGTGGTTTTGTGGAAACGCTGAGCGGACGGCGCCGTTATTTGCCGCACATTCTCAGCGGTAACTCAGCGCTGAGGGCGAGGGCCGAGCGACAGGCCGTCAACTCGACAATACAGGGCTCGGCGGCCGATCTCGTGAAGACAGCGATGGCCGCACTCCGGACGCGACTGTTGGCCGAGAGTGGCATCGATTGCCGATTCATTTTGCAAATGCACGACGAGTTGATGTACGAAGTGATTGACACATGTGTCGACCCGTTTGTCCACATAATGACCGAATGTATGGAAAATTGTCGCAAAAACTTTTCGGTAGAACTGGCCGTCAGAGTGAAGACCGGTCCCAATTGGGCTCAACTCCAGTACATAGACTCACCGCACGATTAATTCATTGATTACTTGTTTTTATTTAAATTAGTTTTTTTTCGTTGTTTATATTTTAATGAATCAATTATTTTATATACAAGTCATTGTTTTTTAATACAATTTGAGCACATTTAATGAATTTTTAATGTTGATTATTATTACGGTATTGTGTGCTGTATTTCATTGATTGTTATATTACAATGTTATCCGAGTTTCAATTGTTTTTTATTTTATTTTAGTATTTTTTTAATGAATTTCCAAAACTGAAGAATTAAATTTTGAACTTAAAGTATGATTTGTTGTGTTTTTATTTAAAACTCTAATATATTGTTTAACTCAGCAATTGATCCGCAGTTTAATCATGTCTTTGAGTTAATGGTAAGCAATGGTGGGTTGTGTGCAATTTGAAAACACCCGGGTCACACTTGAGTTACACTTGGCATAATCCAGACAGACATGCGCTAATACAGACCAACCCCTCAAATGTGATGCCAGTGTTTGTAAACAAACTTTTATTGCAGACTCTCTTTACTTGGCATCAAATGTCAAACTTTTATTGCAGTTATGATTACAAATAGAGATCTATTAACGATATTATCATTTATGATCTCAATTGTCAATATTGAACATTGTTGTTTAATTAGTTTATCATGTTCAATATTATCTTTATAGATCATGTGTTAACTCGATGTATTGAAGTTTGATATGAAAATATGAGCCTGGCATCGATGTAATAATTACTGTTTTGAAAGCATGTTGGTTGTCTATAATGGTTGTCCATTCAATTGAATGCAAATGTCAATCATGTTGTCTGTGGTTATAGTTATCGATCACTGGATTCAAGAGATTTATGACATGAGAGATGATGTCATTGAAAGCTAATTCACTAAACAATCAATTGATAAGTGCTTTCAATACTCCCAATGGATTGCATAGAGAGTTGCACTTAACGTAAATGCATTGTAAGTTAGCTATAGTTTTGTTAACTAAAGTGTATTATCGTATCAATTGGTGTACGTTATCTAATATAATGGCTTTTTATGATAAACGCTCAATTAAAATGTGATCAAAAGTCCACATTCTTCACTCAATTACATTGTTATTTGAAAGCAGGCTATTAATCATTAATGTAAAAATAGTAGCATTTATGAGCAATTTATTTGTGACTTTGTATTTCCACTAAATTATGCAAGTTGTTTTTGATATACATTGTGCAAAATATTAATAACTATTATAAAAACTATATCCACCCAATTGATGTATCTGGTTCATTTATTATTCAGGTAACTTTCATACAGGTGTACGCAAAACAGGTTTTTCTACTGTATTAATAGCTATCATCTAAATTGAAAGCAATACTAATACAGTATTATTGTAACAATACTTTTACTATACTTTTATAGTTATTGTATTACTTTATAGTTGTTATCATTAGTTACATCGACTATAGTCTATGACATTTCAGTTTTATTACACAATAAGATCATGTTGGTGCAATTGGTTCGCTTATTGTCGACATTAGGTCCACAATTGCACTGTTTTATCGCAACTATCATAACATGTATAACAAGAATCAATATAAATATTATTTGTTTTTTGCCTCAAATATATTCTTGGCTTATATTCCTCTCGCATTTAAATCGCTTTCCCATTGAATATGACATGAATTGCCGTCTCATTTATAACTGATAGTGTTTTTTGCATTTTATTTATTTATTAATTAAAAGTTTTCGCATAAACACATCGTGTGGTCATTAATAACTCATTGCACTCATCAATAATGGACGCAAACTTTGACCGCCGGTCAACACTTGGCCAACAGGTGAAGGCTCTGGTCGTTAGGAATCTGTTACTTAAGCGCCGAAATCGTGGCCGAACTCTATTGGTATTCATTAATTACATGATCTGTTTTTGTCAATGATTTGTCTAAATTCTTGATTTATTCCTCCGCTTCTTCTACGACCACAGGAACTAATGTTTCCCATTTATATGATTGTGATTATTGTGTCGATTAAGTCTCCGTGGAAGCCGAAGACCAGCGCTGCCATAGACCAGACACAGGGCAACGGAACCAATTGGTTTGTGGCCAGTGATTCCAATGACAATATAGTGTTTCCCGACTTTCGGGATATTCAGTGGTTTATTGTCGGCGACGAGCAGTCGCCGCGGATTCAGTCCAGTATTAAAGCTGTTCTAAACGTATGTTGTATTTTGTATGACATGTTGACCACATTCTTGTGGTGATAGTTGTCATAATCATATCTGATTATCACTTCTTGTACAGAGAGCTCAATATCCGGATTGGGATCGAATCGTATTCAATACCTCTTACAAGTCGTCCGATGAGATTGAAAGGCATTACATAAGAGATCACCAGAAGATTGGTTTGGCGTTGATTTTTGACACGAAAAACCCCACAAACATTAGTTACACGATTCGCATGCCATACATATCTGTGCCCAACAGTGCCAACAACTTTGGGGATATTGGTTAGAAATTTGTCTAAAATTATGTGTTTTTTGTACGTGAATTACAAGAACTTTGATCCCAACTATTGTAGGCGATTGTCGGTCCAAACCATTTAGCAGTTCTTGCGCTGAGATGAAGTACTATACCAGTGGTTTCACATTCCTTCAGACAGTGGTCGACACGGCTTTAATAAATGTAAAATATGCTAATTTTGTAATGAATATGATTTAATTTTATAATTATCTCTATTTTACTATTATTTGCTTAGTTATTGTCGCCAAACACAGACTATTTGATCCCGAAGTCGTCTCTATTAATATACCCGAAACCGGAGTACAAGACCGACGACAAGATGTGGCAGTCGTTTGTGCCGACATACCTGTCGATGGCGTTCGTGCCGTCCGTATCGATGCTCACACTTATGCTTGTGTTGGAAAAGGAGCGCAAAATCAAAGAGGGAATGCTTATGATGGGTCTCACCATCACTGCCTACTGGTTCGGTTGGATCATCACTCAGTCCCTACTCGTGCTGGTCATCAGTCTAGTCCTCACACTCATCATATACTTCGCCGGTATCTTCGCCACCAATCCGGTGATCATATTCCTCCTGACATTCCTCTTTGGTGTGTCGATGATCGGTGTGTCCGCACTCATCACTCCCTTCTTCAAGAAAGAGAAAGTAATGCAAACAGTTTTCAATAAATGTTGTGTTTTCTGCGATTAAATGGCCATAATTTTTATTAATATCGATTGTCTTTTTCCCGATTGATAGGCCGCCGGCTCTTTCGTCTCATTCTTCTCATTCATCGCCGGTTTCGCGCACTTATTGTTTGTTTATTTAGACATCTCTCCCGTTGTCTACTATTTATTATCACTCATATCTCCCGTCGGTTTCACTCTTGGACTCAATGCTGTAATTAAAACAATCAATTCATTCGTTATGTTTGTTATATATACCCTGTTTTATATCACTGACATTCAGATCACTCGTAATGAAGACATTAGCTTTAAGACACTCTTTGAAGACCAGACCTTTTCGGTCGGTTCGGCGATTATTATGCTAATTGTAGACACAGTTTTGTACACACTTTTGGCCATTTATTTGGATCAAGTGATTCCCGGAGAGTACGGCCCGAAACGTCCGGTATATTTCTTTCTGACCAAATCGTTTTGGTCGCCAACGAAGCCGAGTCTTCACAGGAGTTCCCTAAACCAAGAGTTTGTGGGAAACGAAGAGCACTCGTCTGACATCGAAGAGATATCGGATGAGATGAGAGGCAAAGCGGCCATAAGTATACAAAACTTGTCCAAAGTTTACGGATCGGGCAATAAGTGTGTCAAAGCGGTGAACGGTCTGTCGTTTTCGGTATACGAATCGCAAATCACAGGCCTATTGGGCCACAACGGGGCCGGAAAGTCAACCCTAATCAACATGTTGGTCGGCAACATACCGGCCACGTCGGGCACGGCCTCCATCTACGGTCTTGACATATCTGATCCGAACGATATGAATCGGTTGCGGCAAATGTTTGGCGTTTGTCTCCAACAGGACATCCTATTTGATGAGCTCAACTCCGAAGAACACCTCAACTTCTTTGCAGAAATCAAAGGCATCGACTCTCACGCGCGGGAGCGAGAGGTGCAGCGACTGGTCAGCGAAGTTCAGCTCTACGACGACCGCAAGACTCCGTCCAAGAAGTTGAGCGGCGGTCAAAAGCATAAACTCTGTGTCGCCATAGCGTTGATCGGAAACCCTAAAGTGATTCTATTGGACGAGCCGTCCAGCGGTGTCGACCCCTACTCCCGGCGCCAACTCTGGTCACTGCTTCAGTCGTACAAAAAGGATCGCGTGATTATCTTAAGCACACACTTCATGGACGAGGCGGACGTGTTGGCCGACCGCAAGGCTATCGTGTCCAACGGGCGGCTGA